ATATAATATATTAATATGTACAACTAAAATTACTAATAAAGATATAAGCAAGGCCTTATCTTAATACCAAAAAAAAAAAAATTATTAATCAATCAACTTATCTTTTGTCAAAATCTCTAATTTTATCTTAATATTATATTTTTTTTCAAGTTATATATACTCATATTTTATCTACAATATAAACTTTTTCAAAATAGAACTGATAAATAATTTCAATTTAAAAGAATCAATAATACTGATTTTGATAATAATAAATCAGATTATATATTTTTTGATAAAAATTTCTTAGAAAAAAAATAAAAAGAAAATTTTTTAGAGTACTAACTGTAATGACTATAAGAGTTTATATTATATAAAATAACATATCCAACTAGACTTTTATTTTTATTATTGTTTAAATATAACTTGACAAATAGTTTTTTAATTGTAACCAAAATTATTTTTTTAATAACTTTATAGATTTTTACTAAAGAACTAAATTTACAAGAAACTGTTTTTTTAACACTTTTTCATATTACAGTTACACTTTCCTAAGTGCATGCTATCAGGATCATAATAAAAAAAATCAAAATTTTGCACTTAGAAGAGGTTTGCACTTATGGAGAATAAAATATATAAGGTTCTTATAAGTTAAAGCCAACTCATAACTTGCATTTAGAGAGGTTTTACATAGTACTTGCACTTAGGGGAGGAACAGAAATTAGGTGATTTCTGTTTACTAAGAGGCTATACCTCCTACCCCCCACCTGATTAAAATCTTAGCAAACTAAATTTAATTATAACAATATTTGACCTGATCGAATTACAAACCCCCCACTTCCCTAAAAAATCACCTAATTTCTGTCCCTTCCCTTAGGGGGTGTACACTTAAAGGAGTGTGACTGTATTCACATACAATCTGAAACTCTCAAACTCAGATACTATATAACAAAACTTTGTTAAGTATAAACATATTAACTATATAATATTTATAGATCAGCATATGTAAAAAAAGTTGATACAAAAAATTATTAGAAAGAATTGTGAATGAATAAACTATATGCTTAAGTTTTAAAAAATTTTAGTTTTGTTCAGATATATTTTTTTTTAAATACTGAATCCTTGTTCTTAGAAGTATAATAATAATTTTTTAATTTTGTTTTTAAGATTTATTTGTGTTTTGTTTAATACTGTTTTTAGTACTACAGATCAGCAGAAAGAGTTTGTTTTGATTCTCTAGAGAATATTAAATTCAATAAAAGTCATTTTATATATACAATAGTATAATTTTGTTAATTATGTATTAATTTAAAAACTTCTCTAATAAAATTTCTATACTTGTAAATTGTTATTATAAACTGGGTGAAGAGTTTTATTCTTCTAAAACATAACTTATTTTACTTCGAAGTTAAACTATAGAAGAAAAATAATATACAAATTATGTCTGTTGATTTTCTGCATAGTTTAATGATTATCTATTTTGTTATGTCATGTGCTGACAATATAGATTCCGATTGGTTGACTGCCGTATGAAAAAATCCCGTGCTTTTCCGAAAATATGAAAGTCCCCTCTGCTTCTAAAGACACTTTTATTAATAAATAAGTTTGAAAAAATATTCAGAATAAGTTAATCATAAAAACTTTGTTCAACTAAGGATGCTAACTAAATACATTATTCCCCATCCCTAATTCAACAAAATCATAGAAAATCATTGTACAAGCTAACAAAATAGCAATTATCCCACAGAACGTCGCAATCCGAATTCCATATTTAGGATTTAATCCTGGAAAAGCTATAAATACGTCAGGCTTTGAATTTTCATTTTCATCAGATTTCATACTAGTAATTTCTTCAAAGATTAATATCGGGGATGGTGAACGAGAAAGACTAGGGTCATGAGAATTAATTGATAAGCTATTAATATGTAAATTATCAATTATATCAGTTTCACACTTTTTATCACTAATAATAATTGTTGGTTGAGAAGTTTTCAATGTTGGAACATCGAAACTTTTCACATCAATTTTTAAACTATTGTGTGAATCAGCTTCGCATGTTTCTATGCTAACTTTTGAACTACTTCGTGAGTGACTACGAGATTTACTTGGAGAACGAGATCTTCTACGTCTTAAAGTATCTGGAGTACGCATACTTGGTGTAAGGTGATCATTATCATGGGAATCATCGTCATCAGGTATTGGATGATTTTTTGAATAAATTTTAGGTGATGATGGACAGATGACAATTGGAAGTGATAAATTATTATTTTTGTCAGCTGGAGTTACAATTTTAACTGGATCATCAATTTGTGTTATAACAATACTTTTTATCGAGAATTGATCAGTGACCGAAGGTACTGTTAATCTTTCTGATATTATTGAAATAAATAAAATATATTAGATTTTAAATACACAATAGCCATTTAAATAATTTAAATAAAGAAAATTATCCAGTGCTACTCCTGAACGACCAATCAGAATTCAAGATCGGGTGTAACGTGAAATCAATGTTTTTTATAAACAAAACGTCGCATTAGTTTAGGGTTAGGATCAAAGGTTTATTAGGTTAGCAATATACAATAGTAAGAAGTTTCTAACCCAAAATTTTGCAAGAAAATTTTTTGTTAGTACGCAGTAAGTGATTTCATAAGTGAAATTTTGAGTTACAGGCGATTTTTTAAAAATTCATAATTTTCACGTTACACCTGATTGGTCAATCAAGGGTGGCACTGGAGATAATGAAATCAGGTATGCATACCATGTTTATCATCTTTAATAAGGTTTTGTTTATAACTTAAATGATATAGATAGAATGGGAGAACAAAATTACTAATAGTTGAGAATATTAAACTTGTCCAATTCATAAATTCGTTGAGCCAAACTCCAGTTTGGAACGGGAGGATAACAATCCAAGGAATAAAGCTTGATAAAAGTATGGCACTTTCTAAAACATAAAATCGAAAAAAAAGATATAAAAAAAATCAAATAAAAATTTGAATTTGAAAGAAGGAAAGTTATCATACTTTTATTTAAATTATTATTATTCATCAAATTAAGGCGCACCACGATCGTAAATACTGGAATGCTCGTCACCAAAGCGGCTATGGGAAATAAATAGGTTGTAATCAGGCTAACTATAGTTCGTTGATTAGATTGACCAATGACTGCAATAATGTTTGACTTTGAATCCATCACATAAGCCATTCCTCCTAAGACTCCGAGTGAAACATATAGAATAGTGGATATAATTATAGAGATCCATACAATTTTTCTGATTGGAACATTCCGACCCTATAAATTTAAACATATTAATATTAGTTAAAACTGAAATTAATAACAATTATAAAATCATATATTACTAACCGTATCATGAACCCAACTCGGTACAGTAGTTATAAATGCGTAATTATATAAGACAGTCCCTACTACTTGACTTTGACTGTTACCAACAAAAGGAACAAAATCTCTAGTAAGACCGTGAATAATGAACGTGACAAGCCAAACGATGATAATAAATATCAAAGTGACGAAGGAAGCTAATAATAGAAAAATATAAGGGAATATATCATAATAAGAAAAAAAAAATTTAAAACTGATGAATTATGGGTATAAATACACTACCAATTTGTATTCTAACATTATCGACTAGTTCCAAAACTCCCAAAGGGATAACCATCACTAGAGAAATCTGGGTAATATTAATAAATCGATATTAGAATTATTCTGTAAACTTGAATTACATAGCTATAATAAGTAAATAAAGAAAAAAAATGTAAAAAATTATTCTTACTAAATAACCAGCGGTTATAAGCATATAGGCATTTCCAAAGGGACTTCCAGTACCACTTTGTTCTGTTACGCAATATAATCCGCCAGTTGGATAAATTCCAATACCGCAAGTTTTGCCAAATATAGAAATTGTCAAAGAATCCATAGTTTGAGCGGATATTATAATTGATGAAATAATTAGAGATTCGAATGTTATATAAAGAACAAATTGAACTATCCAACGTTGATAGTTTTTTGTCATCAATATCGAGGAGAAGCGAGTAAATTCAATGTTTTTCTAATAAAAATAATTTATGATATTAGAAAATATTGAAGGGTCAGTTATATATGCAATTAAATAACTAAATTAACCTGAAATTTATCATTTCCGTACTGAGCACTTAAAGATTCACATAGAAATAAGGTAGCAGCGCCACTTAGTAAAGTTGCAATGATAAAAACAAGCAGCGGTCTAGAAAATAAATATTAAAAGTCACAAATAAGGGGAATAAAAAATAATAAAATAAGATGAAATTAACGAAATTGCAAGGTACATAAACCATCCCGCAGATTGAAAAAGTAATGGAACTAAAGGTGACAAAGGGCATCAGCATACATAAAATAAATTTGTAAGTAAATGTCTGAAAGATTTCATACTTGTAACAAGTCCCGGTCCTGTCATGGACGACACCAACAGCGAAACGCTTCCTAAAGAAGAAATAGTTCTGGGTTCCATATTTTTTTTCAAAAATCCAAAGAAAATGGCAAAGAAGCTTAAATATTTAATAATTCCAAGCGCTTTTTATAAACAATATACCACACGCCGATACAATTTAATATCCACGAACTTTATTTATATTTATGCATAATCCGGGTGTTATACAAAGTTTTTAATGTACTATTTTCCTTGATTGTTTCGATTGCCAAGAAAAAACTTTAAATTTAATCTTGATAAGCCAAAAGAATCGTGTTTAATGGCAACGGTTCATGCGCAAAGTGGTAGTACAGAATATTAAATTTACTGATCGTAATAACCCAATTGCGGTAGCACTAAAAATACAAAACCGGTAACTTGTCTAAACCATTTCTGGGTTTTTCTGATAATAGTTCGAGTTTACTAATAATTAACAAAATAAAGCATTGCGCTATTGCGGTGAGCTTTGTGAGTTAGATAATTTTCGAGTAGGGAGAAAAATTGCATTTATTTAATATCTAAACAAATGTTGGGGGGTTTTTTTTTAAATTAAAAGAAAGGAAAATAGACATTATAATCATATTTTCGTAGTGAGTATATTGTGAATGTTCTATAATATAAAGCAAACAAAAATTTTTGATCCAAGAACTCTAAAACATATGCATTAAATAGCACTTAATACTAAATAAAAGGTGAGAATCCCATGCATTTTTATGCACTTTCCGTATTTTTATTTTTTTACAGTTCTCGGTATAAATATAGCCTTCTAACACTAATCTAATCAAAATCAACTTTAAGTATCGCTGTCATTGTTATCTGTAAACCATAAACCGTAATGTCACAACAAAGCCTTAATGCCATACGGGGTAGTAGGACTCCAACATTATTTTTAAATCAAATATGAATGTATTAAATCACAAGGCAATTAAGTAATAACGATAATTACCCTTTCCTCATTGTCATATGCCGTTTTACCAGTGTATAATAATAATGGTTAGACCCAGTTGAAACAATATTAGCGGTAAGTGCAAAATTAGTAAAATCGTGTTGAGATCGTCGTATAAATTGATTTAGCAAATATATGAGTGACGAAAAGGGAAAACCTGTAAATCATTTCACTCATTGAGTGAGATGATTTACAGGTTTTCCCTTTTCGTCACTCATATATAGAACGTCTTTAAATTTTAATGATTATCAATTCATCTGGGCAGTAAAAAATACTGAAAATCTCAGAATTTATGTCAAACTGATCATTTTTGTTAAAAACTTGGCATTAAATATATGAATAATCATTAAGTCCGTCGCCCTCTGCAAGAGCAATCGCCAATTTATAAAACGCGATCAATTTTGTGTGATGCAAGGGAGCACCTTATTAGCGTTAGACCGAAACACAAATACAAATTCGGCAAATTTACGTTTCACCATTATGAACGAGCTTTTTTAGTGTGTTGATTGGAGGACACTCCTTACTAAACAGTTTTATTTTATGACCTATTATGGCCTATTTGTTAATTATAGGCTATGACTTTGTAACTCGCTATGACTTATATAAAATATCTATTACGTCATGAAAACCTTGATTATATAAGTCGGATATAACCAACACTACTACTAAACTTAAAGGCGTGGAATACTTGGACGAGTATTCTATTATTAATTTATCTATTTTCTTTAATCTATTACGAACTACCAACTTTTATTTGATATCAGTTCGGGCTCTTTGGCCTTCTGAACTATCTAAGATACGTATTGCCTTTTAATTACACTTGTCTTTTTGTGATAATACAATTTCCAAACTGTTTCATTCTATTATATTAGATTATTCTCATCATTTAAGTTCCTCCCATAAGTGCCATCACATGATAAAACACAGTCGCTGCATAATTTTTATCGAATTGTGTTGTTTAAATAAGTTCCTGTCTGTTGATTATGTTGTATAAATCGATAATAGAAAGCAATTATATAACATTGTGGCTGTGGCATTAATCATATAATGATATTTTGGGGTTCGCTCTGGCGAACATTCGTGTTTACACTCGATTGTTCTGCATTTCACCAAGTTCATACTTTTCGTTGTATTGCAGACAATAACAATTATTCACTAAGGTTAATTATACAAAAATTTTGCACGATCCTTTTTTTTTTGGTTAGTGCGTGAAGGTGATTTTTAAGAGAACTTCGAGATTAATGCAAGTTTTTTTTTTAAAGCATTACACGCATATGATATATTATTAATTGAATGCATTCGGCCAATAGTGCCAGACATTAAACTTTATTAAGGGATTTATATGCAGCATAAATCGATATAATTGATTCACAAATTGAGTAGGGACATACTCCCAAAATAGCAATTATAAGTGTGCTGGACATCAACTGAATTCATGATGTTTAACATCAGTGTAAAGTAGACTGACTTCGACATGAATTTTAATGTTAAAAATACCACAGAATTGCTGGATTCTGCATGTTGTTTTGTGTGAATATCACCTTTGTATTTTGCGCAGTGCTATCACTACCTATATATAGCGACTATTATGTTCAATCTAACAATGGAGTTAATCTAACAATGGAGCTATTATTGGTAACTTAATTGTCCCAAAACGGAGTTGATTAAATTATATACTTATTTGATTAAATACTTATACGTATGAGTGCATGTGCTTTCTTATGACATTAGTTTGGTTTGGTCAAATTGGCCGTTAGTACTGGTTTTAACTAGTCTTCGCAACTTATTTGTGTTAGTGATACGTACAAACTTCTAAAAAAGCAAACAGCCAATCAGTGAGTTCGGATTTTGACTCTGAGAACATGTACATACAAAAGAAGAAAAAAAATAAAAGATTCGAAAAAAATCAATGTTTGTCGCTTTTTGCAATGAATCCTATAGATTCTGCATATTAACATTGTTATAATATATAATAATTTGTAGCATTAATTTGCAAAGAACGTTAAATTGATCTTGGTGCCCTAATTAAAAATACCAAGGGCAACATTTTGCATATAATGAATAAGTTATTCTAACATTAACTTCCTAACTGAATCTATCTTAACGTATTTGGTTCATTTTAAGGCTCTTACAGTGCCAACACACGTATTATTAAAGCATAGTTACATTGCCCGTGCCCGGCACTATGTTTTAATAGGTTTGTATTATCGGCACAATATCGGCACAAATAAGATACATATATAGAAATAGTAAATAGAAATCTTATAAAATTAATTAGACCGAATTAGTGATACGGCCTAAACCGAAACTTTCGGTTGGGCGAAACTTTCGAAACCTCCAACGTCCGAAACTTCTAATACTGGGTGAAATTTGATTTATTAGTATCTATTTTGTAAGTGGAAACGGAATCTAAGTGGATTCGGTATTTTTATATAAAACAGCATTGTGAGGTTGATTTTATCATATGAACACCCTTACCCTAACCTAACTAGGAAATTCAAAATCCACTTAAATTCCGTTCCTACTTACAACATCCAAACCAAAATCAGATACGTACATACGTAATACAGTGCTTAAATTTATTTACTGACATTAGTGTTACGGCCTAAGGTAAATTTTCGCCATGTAAAACATCCGAAACTGGCAAAACCTTCGAAATTGGGCGAAACTTCTGAAACATCCGAAGCTGGTAAAACTTGATCCACTAAGTTATCGCCTTGCGCAAACTAATCATATTTGTGATTTAAGCCGGCTACGGCAGCCGCGGCTTAGCCGGTTTAGCAGCTGACTAAAACCTTACAGCTTAAATCACTAGTCATATTAAGATCAGATTTAACGTAACACAATCAAAAAAATCCAAACCAAATGCTCATTTTGCCAAAAATCGTTTGTAACTCAAAAATCAGCATAGGAAAACACCTTTGGTGTCCTAACAAAAAATTTTCTTTGTGCAATTCTACTAAACATATTAAAAATTTTGATCTCAATACAAATGCCAACCCTAACTTAAACGAGCTTGAAGATTTGTTGGAACACCGAAAAGAGGGTAAGGCAAGATCAAAAACTTTTCTCTCCCACATGATTTTCGCATTTCACATATCACTAAGAAAGCCGTTAACTTTTTTTTACTTCTGTAGGTTAGGGAGGGATTTGTTTAGGCAAACGTGGCTTATGTGGCGAAATCTCATAATAACCATTTTTTGTTAGAGCATAAACGATAGTTTCAGAAGTTTCAGTCAGTTTTGGGGTTTCGCCCAGTTTCGTACGCTTCTCCCATTTAGCCCAGTTTCGGATGTAGCATTAGATTGGATATAGATATTCTTATTCTTAGAAATCAGTATATATTGTAAATGAATAGAGCTTGGAACCAATAGTATTTTTTTAAGTAGTATTAAACAACCAATCAAAACAAAGGCGAATCACGCTTCATTAAAGTGGAGATCACATGATAAATAAAAAATATAAATACAACCCGAGTACGATAAAAAATCTCGGGGGAGCTTCTGATCATTTGAGTGTGCAAACA